GGGCGGGGTCACAACACAATGGACTACAAGTAGCAAAGTTGTTCCAAAAATATGCTTATGCACCAAGATATGCAAAAAAGCAAAGCGTACAAAGAGGCTTTCATGAAGTCAAAAGTGTAAATTCAGTCTTACCTTTGTTGGTTTATAGTCTTTATAATCCGTGTTATAGATCAGTGGAGAGTGTTTATAAGTCTCTGATGCCACATTCCATCATTTTCTGGTTCTTCATGATAAATAAAAAACTCCATGAGGTGTACTCAGCTGCTCTCCAACAACAAAGGGTGGTGAACTGTGGAGAATTTCCAGTTCTGTCCTGACCTGTGCTGAGACTCTGCCCTGATGGTCTTCTGCACGTTTTCTCAGTTGCAATACTTATGCGCCCAAAGGCTCTACTATACGCCAGATATAGCGTAGGTCTATGGCAGGGCTGTTCAGTTCCGGTATCCAGCACGTTTTAGTGGTTTCTCTGGTCCAACAAACTTGATTCAATGGTAAAATCAGTGCAGCAGCAGAAGCCCGTTAATCACCTATTAATTGAAACCAGGCGTGTTGAAGCAAAGTCAAAACCAAAACATCTTAAATATAAAGATTATAGTACTTTGTTATGAAGTAAATGTATATTACTCTTCACATTCAAGCAACGGAGCAACCAGTTGACATAAATTGAGTATGTTTATTAAACAGTTCATTTTTGGGGGTCAAAAAATTCAAATAAACTACAAAGTTCAGTCCAGATGTGTTTGAAAAATCATTTAGGAGGTTTATTAGACACAAACTATTACTGTTAGAGGATTTTTTTCCTTTAAATTGACATTTTATGGATTATTTTCTTGTTCATTTTAATAGAAAATGAAATTATGTGGCCCATTTAAAGAAAATGAATATTTATTTGAAAAACTTGCAAATAAAAAGCAAAAAAAAAATTAACAAAACTGAAAATACTGCTGGTTTCTCCTCTAATAAATTAAAAGTAAAAAATTCTTTACCAAGTCGTGTCAACTGGGTCCACTAAACCTAGTTGCTTAAATGTAAATATTAATTACAAATACATTTACTTTTAACACACTAGAGTATTTCAATATTAGGTTTAGTGGAACCAGTTGACATATATTGTTTAAGTAAATTCAACATTTAATTTTTTACAGCGTAGAAAGTAAATATCAACATGAAAGTTAATGAGCAAAGTTTTATTCAATATTCTGACTTTTAAAAATGTCATCGTTTCATTTAGGTTTCACTTTTTTAATCCCATCTTTTGTTCATAATATTGTTTTTGCACCATAAGTTTCCAACTCAGAAATGTGTTTCAAAATGCAACAGATGAGTTTAATAAGAGTCGGTTGAGGAGAAATGGTAGCAATGTGATGTGATGGACCACAGGGGCTGGGGGAGAAATTCCCTGAAATGAAATTCAACACTGTGACTGTTGGACACGCGGAAGTGTGTCACCACATAATCCAGATCCGTGGGCTGAGTGGTATCAGAACCTAGTTTCAGGTCTCTTATGAATATTCTCAATTCCCCTTGGAATGGAGGAACCTGACAAACTGCACCCTGGGATTGAAACAACCACATGAATTCAGTCTGTTTATGATTTTTTTTAAATGCCCAAATCCAGTGATATCCCACTATTCCCGCCTGCACCTAAAGCTCACTGATCACTACAGCCGTAGTGCTGACACTGATAGTACTCCGAAACACGGATCAGTGACAGATCCCAAATCCTCTGACATCACCTCACCTTCCATCCAGGCTTCACAGAAAATTCGATTCCCACAATCATCCACTAGCAGTATGTTCAACGAGAAACCACACAGTCTTCAGTCCCTGTGTGACAACGGAGATATGCAGATATCTGATTACGGGGGCACAGACTACTCGCTGCAGTGACAGCTGTGCCGCAGTGATAGGTGGGCGACACAGCAACGTTAATGTGTGATTGCACGCCAACGGGCAATATTGCTCTAAAGTTACACTGCGGCCAACTTTTCCACATTGCCAACTGTTTGGTGGTTATCGGAGTCCAACAGATCTGACTCTGTGAGAACATAGGAAGAGTTTTAGCAAATGTTGGTGAATAGTTGCTGGTTGCAGCCTCAGAGTCCAACTGTCTCACCTCCTGCAGCCAGCTGTGTGTTGGGGGTATGAGGAAGAGGAGGGGGAGGCTTCTGGAGAGGACTGGAGGGGCTACTCCACACCAGCCTGGAAGGCACTCAGGCAGCAGTGGTGTCTTTTGTCTCCTTGTCTAATTTGGCCACCTCATCTCCCCTATTCTCCCAGGGCTTGGAACCGCCCCTGCTGCCTCCTCTCACATGACAGCAGAGCTATGCAGGCTCCATCTGGACCTCAGGAAAGAGAAGACAGACACCAAGGGAGAAAGAGATCAGATGTGTTTGTATAAAGACCAAAAACTGGTTAAAATCAGAGCTGCTTTTGTTCAAATAAAAAAAAATGAAATGAGTGTTTCTGTTTGACATTTTCATGATTTTCCTGCTGTTTTAGGTAATAAACCATAACTGGAATCACTGTTGATTACCACCCTTCCTCCTTTAAAGAAGGCTGGTGATGCTTTTACCTTCTTTTGCCTGAACTCACCACAAAAGCTGATGTTTGGGGGTGTATGATGACAAACCCCGCCCCACGGGGGTCGACGCTGAGCCACTAGATGCTCGTACTCCTCCACGCGACAGGCGCGTGGCAGAAGAGAGGAGAGGGAGCGCGAGACGCTTCAGTCAGTTCTCAGGGATCGTGTTGGGAGTAAAACTCGGTTTGTTGCCACAGCGAAGGATTAAAAGACGCGGTATCTTGTATTTGTTTTTTCTTTTCTTTTTATGTTCCATCCTTTCCTGCGTTTATATTTTTAAGGTTTTAGTCCGACTGCTTCCTGTTTAGGGACTAAAACGAGTAAAAAATAAGTAGGATTACTTTGTTACTTAAATGTTAATCTTTGTGTCGGGACTTAAACGCTTAAAAATAAAGTAATAATAAAGTGATTTAAACTATTTGGTCACGAGGAGAAAACAAGCAAATCAGCGCGTGCCAGTGAGGAGGACCCGGAGCATAGAAAGTGAGACACCGGACTCCAGGGCGCTTTGGGCGGCTGCTGTTCAGCTTCAGACCCGATAATTTTACTTTTAATGAACATTTAAAGAGATCTAGCACCCCAAATGGTTATATTTTAGCAAACTAGTGATATAAATAACACACACAAGCAACGTTTATGAACATAAAATGTGTTTTAAAATATTGAAATTGTGGCTTAAGTTTATCCAGTTGGCCACAAAAACCAGAAGGAAAATATTGTTTTTGGATGGAATAAAGATTAACACCAATTATGCCATGGCAATTATTAAATTGTACAAGGGGTTTATTCAATGTTTTACTTCTAAATAAGAAAATAATTGTAAGATATCCATAGTCTGCTGCACCACGTGCTTCATATGCGCAATAAAATGAGAATAGTTTGCATTCCAGTGCTTGATTCTGAGTTTTAGAAGCTCCGCTAGCCCCTGAACGCACCACCAAAGGAGAATCCTCCAGAGACCCAAACCCGTACCCCTGGTTCAGACCCCGGGTCGATCAGTTGAAAACCTCCGATTGACATTCCCAAAACCCGGTGGCTATGGAAACCGCCTCAGCGGCGCCGCGAGGGCTTGGCTCAAGGGCTGCTGTGAATGAGCTGACGTCACGGCGCCAGAGAGTCTGCTCTCCAAAGAGCGAGAGGGGCGGAGAAGGGGAGGAGAGCAAAGGGAAGGGAAGGCAGGGTGAGGCTGCTGCTGCTGCCAGTGGGGCGCTCAGATTTGCACCGATGTGGTCTTGCGCCAATTCATCACCTGGCTGTCAGGCATCAGTCAGGGGCGTCGTGCGAAATGAGTTCACAGCTGTGGGAGCGATGGGAAGAACGGGAGAAAATGGAACAATTCTTTGGCGCCAGATGTGGACGCAGACTGCAGGAGTTTCAGATTATGTTAGAAATGCATAAAACAACAACTAAAGGAGGAACAGAACCGCGCGTAAAACAGAAGCACAGATGGTGTTTTTCTGAATAGAACATTTATTTGGGTTCCAGCATCTCCGATCTATATCGGCATTTTATAATGCAAAAGCTTGTTTTCTTTCTTTCTGGTGTGTTAAGTATATTAAAATGACCTGAAAATGAAATTATATTTTCTAACACTCATGAAAATGTAGTTTCCATCTCCTTAGGAACGCGTGGGTTGCTCCATGGATCAAACCTAAAGCCCCAATCCACATCCCAAAAGCCTTCACCGGCCCCTGGGGGTAATTACTTTGCAGCGGCTCCAACAGCACCCCTGTCAACTCCAGCTGAAGAATGGAGCGTGTAATTCCAACAAACAAATGGCTCATTCAGGAAGCATTAAAATGTCAATTGTTATTAATCACTTTTTTCACGTGCTTAGTGTCACATTTTTCAATTTCCACAATGCCGACGGCCATCAAGGTGCACAGGATACGTTTTATTATATTTTAGATTCTGTTATATTTCCAAATTATTATTCACTGTATACGCCAAATTTACTATTAAACGTGTCTCCAAACTTTTTACGCACGTTTTGCGCGTAAAAGCGCAAACGCTTTAAGATTGGATTTTTTTTTTCTGCAGGTAAAAGCGATTTTATTGTCCTGATGGACCCTCTGGGATTTTGGTTCCTCACAAACTTGCGGGCTGATGTAAATTAGGGATGATCAGACGCGCCTGAGCTTGGTGACCAGATCGCCAAACATCTGAGTCTGTCGTCCACAAGAAAGGCGATCACAAAGGCGATTTAAAAAGCCCGTTTGGCTTTTAAATAGTTCAAATACACAAAAGCTTTCACGATTTACACCAAAACGTCCCCTTGTCTTGCTCCTGTCCACTCATATCCATCATTAATTTTCTTGAGCAGAAACAGGTAAGGGCTTAATTTTCCAAATTGCCCTCCGGAGCTGCTGGAGCGCTCTCTGTGTTCCGCCTCCAACATGCGTTGCCAGTGGTAACGTGATGGAGAGTGGGCGTGGTTCGAGCGAGAGAAGCCAATAGTTGGTGCAGAACACGTTAAGTGACAGCTTGGATACTCCCTATCAGCGCGTTTGACCCGCCCACGTCACAAGCACGGGCTGTCATCTATATAAACCACACTGACAGCTAGGTAATCCAGTCTGATCGCTGATCGTCTGACTAAAACAGGACTTACCAGAAAGAAGAGCGGACGCAAACGCCTCCTAACTTTCCTGACAGAATGAAGGCAATAAGCCCCGTGCGATCCTTCCGGAAAAACAACGCGAATTTTTCGGAGCACTCCTTGGGAATCTCTCGGAGCAAGACCCCGGTGGACGACCCTCTCAGCCTGCTGTACAACATGAACGACTGCTACTCCAAGCTGAAGGAGCTGGTGCCCAGCATCCCACAGAACAAGAACGTCAGCAAGATGGAAATCCTGCAGCATGTCATCGACTACATCCTGGACCTGCAGATCGCGCTGGACTCCAGCGTGGCGCTCACCAGCCTGCATCACCCAGCGCGGCCGGGGCAGACTCCATCCAGGACCCCCCTGACCACCCTCAACACAGACATCAGCATCTTGTCATTACAGGTAATTACACCGGAGCTGAAAACACTCTCATACACGCGCACACGCACAGATCCACTAAGGTGTCTTTTTTTATTATCTGAGCGCAGAAACGGCGCGCCTCTGCCGATGCGCACAAAATGGCTTGTTGGGGGCGAAAGAAAATGGCTTTTTGTCTTCCTTTTGTTCACAAAGACAAAAAAATCCGCCCAGATTGTTGCACCTTGACTGAACCGACGTCTGCGCGGAGACTTTAACATTTGGTTTGTGTGTTTGTTTGTTTTCAGTCCCCGGAGTTGCCGTCAGAGCTGATGACAGATGACAGCCGGACCCTGCATCGTTAAAGCGGTAAGTAGGCTGTCCTCGTGTCTGCTGCTGCAGTCTGTCCAGGGCTTCTTCCAGCCTGTCTCCCAGTCTGCTAGAGCAGAATGGAATAGAATTACCACTCACCAATCCATTTGTTCCCCTGCTGACGTCTCACGTTGCTGTAATGATTTCAGTATGCGTCTTTTCTCGGTGTTGGTGTGAAAGAAACGCAGTTAGATCGACCAAAAACAAAATAATCCTAAAAAAATGAGATTTTGAGTTTGGATCTGAAATAAATCCCCCCATTCTACTGTTGTCCTAGTGGTGTTGCCTCTTGTGTCTGTAATGAAGAGCATCTGCAACAGGAAAATAATGGCTGTTTGGATTACTGCTACTACGATGTCTGCACATAATTGGTACAAGAAGTGGGTAGGCGCCAGCTGAGCGGCAATTACGCTGATTCTTCCCCAGATTGTAGGCTGAAGTTGTGCGAAAAAGTGCGTGCGTGCACGCGGCCCCTCCCCCGTTCCCATCGTGTGTGTGTGTGTGTGTACATCTGGAGCGCAGGGTTTGCTTAGCATTGGGAGTGTTTGGTTAAATGTTAAAAAACTGCGGCTTCCTCCCTGGCGCCAGTCTGTCCGGATCTCTGCCCTGTGTGCGTTTTCTAAACACGCCTCTCTCTCTTTCTCAATCTTTTGCAGGTGTTTGGTCAAGACGCAGAAAAACACGCGTGCGCGCGCGCACAGGACCTGGGGAGCAGGACTTTCCTCCCCACCTCTTCAACCTCTCTGTCCTCCAGGCCTGGACTTTTTCTTTTTCCACTTCTGCTGAAATCAAGAGACTTTTTTTTTTTTTTTTTTTTTTGCTTATTATGGGACAATCTTTATGTGATGTGTTTTCTGTTTGGACACCTTGTTATTTAATTTAAGACTTCTTTATTTGTGGGTCCTTTCTGGAAATGGAAGGCGCATTATGTTCCGGAATCACAAGGATTAACTCCCGTTCCCTCACCCCTTGTGTCCCCCAATTCTCCTTGTTGAACTTCGCTTTTTTTGCGGAGGTGGGAACGTGTACATAACAGGCAACCTGGTTAGTTACTGTAAAATAATAATATTAATAATAATAAAGGTTTAGTCTTGTCTTGTCAGAATTGTTGGCACATGAAGGACTGGACGATGTTTGAAAGAAAACAAAAAAAAGGATCAAATGAAACTTTGTGAACTCTCACCGGGAGTTAAAATCTTGTATAGTTGCAGGAATTTGAAACTTCTGCAAAAAGTGTAATGTTGTACTTAATTATGCTGAAACTTTTTATAAAAGTAATGTAAATTGTACCTTTTTATACAAAATAAATTAAAAACACAACGTGAACATGTTTCATTTTAAGGGGGGATATTTGGGGGTGTGGAGCGCAAAATCGGCTGATCCAGAGGCGCGCGCGCGCTGATTTGACATCAGGGACAATTGGAGTCCAGTAAGGTGTTTTTATGTGACCCATGTCATCTAAAAGACTACATCTCCCAGAAGGAACAGTTGTTTGGAGGACCAGACTCAACTTTTACTTTCTCACGTGGAAATGGGATTAAGGCTGGAGGTCTGACCCACTTCATCACAATTAGTCGAGGCTGTGTATTTTATTTATTTAATCTTAATGTTTAATTTCTGGTTCAATAATTGGTATTTTTTGTTTATGTTCATAAATGTGTCGCTTTTCTTTGTTATTCTAGTTACTGATGGAGCACATGCGTAGAAAGATCAAATATTTGACAAGAACAAGCAGCAAATCTTAGTGTTAAAATTAAATATATATTTGCCTATTTTTTAAACCCTTTTTAGTGTCATTGATGAAGCGTGGTGCAGCTGAAGCTGGCTTTGAGTGGAATGACTAATATCTGCACTGTTTCATTTGTTTTCTAAACATGTTTGAATAAATGTGTTGAATAAAACCAACTTCCAACAATTTCACCTCCATTAGAAGCAGCATCACTCCCTATAAGCCTGGAGCGGGTTTGCATGGAGAGTGCGCCATCTATCGGCCAACAGGAATGCTGATGAACTGAACCAAAACACGAAACTCTTAAAAACTCCCAACTTGACATTTTATGTTTATTTTATTTAAAAAATAACAGAAGTCTGGTTGATTTAAAGGATTCATGCAGTGAAATGTTTTATTGAGTCACAAAAACACCAAACAACCACGAGCGCCACAGCTGAGTCCATTTCATCGTTCTCTACTACAAACACCGCGTTGCGCTAAACAACGTGAAGTGTTTTAATGACAAGAATTCTACGTTGGAGGCTTCGGTAACTCCGCTAAAGTATCGCAGCTTAACTAACTTTTCTGTTTATTCAAAAATGCTACACAACAGCACCACACGGGAGAGAAAACACGCTAAACCCTGGAGTCTCTGATGGTTTTGGTGACAAGATCCAAATAACTTTGGATTTTTAAAGCTTAATGTTGGATTCACAGCTACACCTTCTAACTACAGAACACACACACACAAGCTCTGAATCTTGGGGACACGTCACAACACCATCAGCTAAAACCTCCCTAACAGTTCTCAGAGGATGCTCTCCCTCTCGTCTCCCAGGCTGATGCTGCACAGGTTCTGGTTGTGGTGGATGGTGGCCGCCGTGGTGTTGGCGGTGCTGCTGCCGGGGGTGATGATGATCTCTGGGGAGAAGACAATGCTGGCGGAGGAGGAGGAGGTGTTGTCCTGCTGCTGACGGCTGTTGTTGGTGTTGGAGTTGTTGGGGCTGCTCGTGTTGTTGTTGAGGGTGGTGTTGCTGGCGCTGCGGTTCAGGTTGCTGACCTCGTTGGCTGACCAGCCCTCATCTGGGCTGCTGGCCATGAGGCTTGCTTCAGACGGAGCGTCAGAGCAGATGGACATGCGGGCCACTGCGGCGTCCTGCAGGTCACTCAGTCTGCTCGGGAGGACGCCTCTCTTCTTCACCAGCCCCTCCAGCTCCAGCTCAATCAGACCGGGCCTCGGTTCTTCCCTCTGTCTGCCCGCACCTCCTTCAGTCTCCTCCAAGGAGGGATCCGGAGAACTGTCGCTGGAGCGCATCCCTGAGTCGGAGGAGTCCTTCTTATCCAGGAGGATTCCTGTAAGGAGGCCAGGCTTGGTCAACGGCCCGGCGGTTTGGGAGCTCTGATGAAAAGACGGAGCGCTGGCTCTCGTCTCCTTGCGGAGGAGCGGTGTGGTGTTGTCGGCTTCATCTGGGCCTGAGTCTTCTTCATTACACAGCTTGTGGTATAATGATCCAGCTCCCTTCTTCCTCGAGCCTGAGGTCCTCGAGGACAAGCTGTGGTCCAGCTTCTCATCCTCTTCACTGATGGGGTCTAGGAGCAGAGCATCGGCGCCGGAGACGAAATCTGTGGCGTCGCTACTCTTGGAGGCTCTCTTGTTGAAGGGTTTACGGCCATCTTGGTCTGTTCCTTCTTTGGCCTGAGGAAAAGGAAGGGGAGTCACTGTAGAGGCATAGAAATATAAAATATTCTACTGCTGCCGGTCCCCGAGCGTCCTCTGAAGAAGACATTCCTGTCTCCATGTGAAGCATACAGCCAGTAAATAAGAAATAAAAGAAGCAATAATTTAACTTTTACATTTCAAATCAGCCAGGAAGAGCTCAAACCCGTGAGTGTCCACATACCGCTTTGTCCTCTGGGCTGGTGGACTGCAGGAACTGTCCAGGATGGGGTTGGACGGGCCTCTCCCCCACGCTGCCGGACATCTCCAGCTGGGCCACATGAGCGATGTACTCCCTGTAGGCGTCCCGATACTCAGCCTGATGCTTGTCTGTCAGCTTACAGATGTCGTTGGATGATTCCTGGGAGTTGAGGCTGGACATGCTGGAAGTGCGAAGATTCACCACCTGACCAGAAGGAAAAACACTTGTGAGATTCAGATTTCTCATAACAAAAGAACAGAAGCCTTAAATCAGTCAAATGGAGAAAACTGGATCAGTAAAACATTCCAACAGCTCGTCACAAGTGAGACTTTTAAAATAGCTACAGCTGTTTGCGTGCGACTGTCGTTACAAATTGAGCTCATTTTGCAAAAGGGGGTGAGAATAACATCTTTCGGGTCTGCGTGTGTATTTTTAATTCTGTCAAACTCAAAAGCAGCTGATGTTTCCTGTGTTGTTCTCGGATCTCACACTGAGCTGCGCCAGCGCGAAACCACGGAGGTCACCATCATGCTGGCCAGGCGCAGCGGACTTCTGCACACCGACACACTTGTGTTTAACTCTTAACCGCTTTCTTTGCAAGTTCACTTGTGTAAATATGAAGAGCTGCATTCCTGCTGCTGGTGTTGGAGACTGACCGGCCAGTGTGTGTTGTTGCTGCGCCTCGGAGGCTCTTCCAGCCCCACGCTGCTCAGCTCCTCGAAGCTGAGGTTGAGGCTGAAGGCGCCTGCTTCGTGCTGCGCTACTCCTGAGCGTCTGCTCGGCTCCACGTGGACCACGCTGCTGCCCTGCTCGCTGGCAGCTCGGGACTCGTCCTGCAGCGCCGCCTGGCTCTCGGCGTGTCGTTGCTCTATCACCTAAAAAACAAGACATTCAGCTTCCATCGCTGGAAATCAGTCGCTAGTTTAACAGAAATTTTCCGGACTATGCTTAGCTAACATTAATTCCAAGATGGAGCTCTGAGAGGCGAGTAACGTGTGACATACCAGCTCAGTGGCCTAGTGGTAGAGTGTCCGCCCTGAGACTGGGAGATCAGGGTTCGATTCCTGGTCGGGTCATACCAAAGACTTTGAAAAAATGGGACCCAATGCCTCCCTGCTTGACACTCAGCATTACGGGGTTGGATTGGGGGGTTAGACCACCAAATGGTTCCCGAGCGCGGCTGTGTCTGCAGCTCACCGCTCCCCCAGGGGATGGGTCAAATGCGGAGAACAAATTTCGCACACACATCAGTGTGTGTGACAACTAATGGGACTTTAACTTTAATACGTGTCATACAGAAGCAGCAATAAAAGCAAGAGGCTGTGAGCTGTTCCTCCAGTGGAGCTACCTAGCTCTCAACAATGACCTCCCTTCACCCAGATATCAGGCAGCCATCTTGAACCAGATGGCTGCGTTTGTAGCATCCTGGCAACGCAACACAGCTTTTTTTTGTTGTTGTTGCACAGAACACTTTCCAGTTGCTTCCATGTGAGCCCTGCATCACTCCTGAGCTGATTTTGGTATTGGGAGCGGAGACGGACATTAGCCATCTCAGCCGACCCGACTCCTGGCTGACTGACGGGTGAGCTTCTCTTAATGTGGATTATGAAAAAGATGTCTTGTTACGAGACACTCTGCTGCATTACGTTTGGAATAAACTAAAGGAGATACGTGTGCCTGCGCGGCATCGGGGAGAATGGGGATGCGCGCTACTGAACGGAGGACTCACCATTCCTCTGAAGAGCTGCCAGTCACCAAAGTTCATCTCCATTTCCTTCTTCAGCTCATCTAAGTTGCAGTGAGTGAGCACTCGGCCGTTGATGTTAGCCTGCAGCGGATTTTGATTCAAACGCAAATAAAGAATCGACCGTTTCCTCATCGACTCTCCCCCCCAAGTAAAGGACTACATACCTTTTTGATCTTAGCTGCATAGTGAGGCAACATGTTGAGGTCGAGTCCGTCTATCAGTTTGAGTCGCTCGCACACCGCCTCAGTGCTCAAGGAGCTGAGCAGAACTGTGGGACACAGCTACACACACACAAACACACAGTTATAGGACTTATTAAGGTCTTATTACTTTAAAAACACGAGTTCGGGGCAAATTGATTCCTGGCTGGGGGACGTGCTGTTACTCTGGGATGTACACAAGGCCACAGACCCTAACTGTGACTTTCCATCAGGCTTGAAACCAACGTAAAAGTAAACAAAGCTGCCAACCTGTCTAAATACAAGGTTACCTGCTCTTATCCCCATTCTGGGTGTGTGTATATAAGCTCGTGAGTGTGTGTTAAACACTTGTGGGATGGAGTCGGAGAGTCTAGCGAGCAGCCGATGAGCCGAGCCACACAGAGAGGCTGGGAGGCTCCATGTGACTAATACCAGTCTCCTAAAGCCTCACACAGAGCCACTGGTGCCGAAACCCAAACTTCATCCACTCTCTCCTTCGGTTCATCTTTTATCAAACTATATTCTCACTTTCCTTTTCTGTTTCCCTTCCTTCTTTTCCTGCACATCCTGTCCTCCTGAGCTGATCTTCTACTTTCTTTTCTTCCCCCTCCCGCTCCATTAGCTCTATTAAGACGTGGCTTCAGACTAAAGCCCCCCGGCTTTGTCTCTGGGAGAGCAAAGCACAGCTTAGCTGGACTGCGAGAGCTTGTTAGAACAAAATAATCATCATCTCATACAACACAGCACACAACAGTAGATGCCAACTTTGTGTAATGTTGGAGATGAGCGGGCGCTCGGGGAGTTTAATGACCGTTCACGTCTACAGAGGAATGGAACGTTGTTAGTGAATCTAATGACAGGAGTTGTGCTCTACGGCATGCTGAATGGTGTCAGCCTGTTAGTGCGAAAGATGAGCTACAGATAAGAGGATGAAGAAAAAAAAAAGAGAAACTGAAAGTAGAGATAAAAAAGGCACAAAACCAAACATGTACCTGCTTCAATTTGTAAGGCAGCGACTTTAAATGCTTGATAAGGAGACAAAAAGAAGCAGACAGACAGTCAAAACCACAGATAAAGACTCGCAGCGCTGAAACCGAGAGAGGGTACCTGCGAACAAAGAAGGCTGAAAGCTAAAGACAGAACAGACGAGACGAAAGTTGAACATTTATGTGTCTCGTGGCAGGAGGAGAAGACGCCTTCTTCACCGGCGCCTGAAATTCTGGGAGCTATAAGACGCAGAATGATTCAATAAAGAGGTTTAGTCGTCTTGGAGTCGCATCAGACACCTTTCACTTAAAGACAGAAGTTAGTTTATCAGAAAGTGTGTATTTGAGGAATGTGAGTGAAAACGTGTTTGTGTGTGTGTGTGTGTGTGTGCGTGCGTGCGTGCGTGCGTGTGTGCGTGTGTGTGTGTGTGTGTGTGTGTGTGTGTGTGTGTGTGTGTGTGAGATAAGACTGTAATTACAGCCGGGCTGAGCTCAGGGCTGGGTAGAAGGATGGGGAAGAGGAAACAGAGCTCTGTGAGGGAGGAAGCGTCTTGGTATGAAGATAAGCTCAGAGCTGGATGCATTGTCAGTGCACTGTGTGTGTGTGTGTGTGTGTGTGTGTGTGTGTGTGTGTGTGTGTGTGTGTGTGTTGCCAGCCCCAACAGTTGCTCTGATTATAATCCCAGCAACCACGGTGATCCATGCACACACTTAAATCAGCTAGGTAATTACACAAAACTGGGCCTGCTTACATATCCAAGAAGCTGCACAAGACTCTGCAAACACACACACACACACACACACACACACACACACACACACACACACACACACACACACACACACACACACACACACACACAAACGCAGATTTACAGAAGTAAGGTGCTGCACGACTATAAATAAACCTAAAATTGGGTGAGAAAAACACAATTACACTGAAGAAAAAGGAAAAGGCAGATATGGGAGCCAAACTGTAATGTAACGATGAAGGCACAAAGGGCAGGATTTAAAAAAATAAAATAAAAAATTGAAAAAGCACAAAATCCAGACAGATAAGGAGGTAGAGAAACGGGACATTAAAGAGTAATCTGGACTTTTAATCTTTCCCACAGCTTCTCTCGATGCTTGCTGGCAGAGCCCTGATAAGTGGCTTTGTGAGGCAGAAATCTCCTGAGTTGTGTTATCATTAAACTGTTCTAATAGTAGCTGGAAACATGGGAACATCTAAACGCAGTGGTTCAAATCAAAATAATCTAATAAGACTGCTTGTTGGAGATTTAAAACTTTGCAGGAAGTAGAGCAAACTTCATTCTGAATGTCATATTCGCACCCATCACATCCCATGCAACCTGAGGACCAATCAGCTTCTGGAAATGTGTTTGTTTTCATGACTTGGCTCCTTTAAATATACTTCCATCAACACAAACAATCAAGCATGTGCATTTTATGAATGCAAAAAGACAAATCACAAAACAAAGTGCAGAATGCATGCTAACATTAGCCAGATTACGATGAAGGGGTCAGAGGGGCTTGAGGGGAGGACTTCTCTGACATCCATCCATCCGTCCGTCCGTCCGTCCGTCCATCCGTCCATCCATCTGCTTATCCAGAGTGGGGTCGCGGGGCCAGTAGCCTAAGGCGAGAGGCCCAGACTTCCCTCTCCCCAGCCACTTGGGCCAGCTCCTCCGGGGGAATCCCAAGGCGTTCCCTGGCCAGGTGAGAGACATAGTCCCTCCACCGTGTCCTGGATCTAACTTTAGGTCTCCTCCCGGTTGGACGTGCCCGGAAAACCTCACTAGGGAGGCGTCCAGGAGGCATCCTGACCAGATGCCCGAGCCACCTCAACTGGCTCCTCTCGATGTGGAGGAGCAGCGGGTCTACTCCGAGCCCCTCCCGGATGACCGAGCTTCTCACCCTATCTCTAAGGGAGAGCCCAGCTACCCTCTGGAGAAAACCCATTTCGACCGCTTGTATCCGCGATCTCGTTCTTTCGGTCGCTACCCAAAGCTCATGACCATAGGTGAGGGTAGGAACATAGATCGACTGGTAAATGGAGAGCTTTGCCTTCTGACTCAGCTCTCTCTTCACCACGACAGACCGGTACAACGCCCGCACCTGAATAGACCCTA